ACTGATAATTGTCACTGTTATTTTCTGACCTTCCAGAGACTACAAATATTAGTATGAATATTCACAAAAATTTCCCACTTCCAAATGCACACTTTCAAGGTGAAAAAACCATTTGTGGTTTAGGCACCCATCAAGCCTAGGATAATGAAGAGAGGAAAAGAAATGAACACAGTAAAACCATATTGATTTACATTTAAAGGAAGAGATGGGGAGGAGTAGGGGAGATAAAAAGTAATACAGGATTATTTAGGGAAATAAACTGGAGAAGTTTTGAAAAGAGAAAAGGAGGTGGTGAAGTAATTTTCATGTATAATTATAGTTCTTTGGGAAACACAGAACTTAAAAGATTTGAAAATATTTTTATAATATGCAATATCCATTTGGACTTTTTCTGTGTGCCAAAAATATTTAAATTAATTTTTAATTTGTCTGGATATTAATGTTGGGTTTCTTTTAATACAGCTCCATGTTGAGAGAAGCTACAAACAGAAGCAGCTGTATTTGGGTTACACTGACCATAACATTGTAAAACTTTCTGAATCCATCAAATCGTGTTTCTTGCAGTCTTTTAAGTTTTGCATTTTATCTCAAAAGAAGTGAGTGATAAAAACAAAACACTGAACTAAGTTGTTTATTTCAAAATATAGAGAGCTTTAACTAACCTTTCCCCATGAAGTTTATGACTTTCAGTAGAAAAAAACTGTTTATTCTAATTAAACACAAGAAACATCAATGTTTTAGAGAAAGAACTCAAATGGGAACCTTGTCCAAGATAACACTGATGGGTGTTTTTGGTCATTGTAGTATTATACAAATCCTTACAGCTTAATGAATTATCATTTCCAAGGCCCATTAAGGGATTCAGACGGCAAGAATTAACCTTCCAACAGTCCATGCATCCTATGGGTACACAATAAAATACAAGCATGCATAAAGAGCAGCAGAGGGCAGGGTTTGAAGGAAATATTTAAGCTGGAAAAAATGCTCATCTTTGGTTCATTATTATTTTACATATATATTACTGAATTAAACATTTAAATTTCTTTCATAAGTGTCAAAATAATGTCCAGTTTTGAAATCGGTATGTAAACAATAATATATTTCATCAAATATATTCAAATTAAATAGTGGCTCAAATGTATTCTAACAACTGCATGGTTAACTTTATTTCCTGTACACAGTCTATTCCTCTTCTCACCTAGGACATGGCCTTTAATTTGGATTTTAAACTTATGAACCAATAGGGCTCACCTATGATGATAAGATGCTTATGAAATAATTTATTTCCTGTAAAAAGGGATTTGGTAATGCTCTGTGTGGAAAATATCTAAAAATTATAAAGAATGTCTGGAATGTTTTCCATATATATTTCTTAATTTATAACCTATGCCCTGAAAAAAAAAAGTTTAGGGATTTAGAAACAAATATAAAACAATTACAATTTGTGCTGGACAAAAATTACTGTTGACATGTTACAATGGAATCTCTGTCTCTGTCTCTTTTTTTCATACAACTGCTGGCCTGCTCTATACAACATTATTATTTTCTTCCTGGAGATGAAGACAGACTCTAATTAGAATTGTGTCTACATGATAGACCTGCTTAAGTCCTGTAGCCACTTCATAAATAAGTGCTGATCTTTATATTGATATTAATACCTGCCTTTATGTTGCACCCATGGAAGATCTGGACATTAAATCTGTCCTCTTGCTACACTGGAGAGCATATTCATAGCAATCAGGTTTCCTGACAGCTACTCCTTACTTCTTGAGATCAGCGCTCTAGGCTAATCATTGAACGTGGGGGCTCCAAGTCTGTACATATGCTACTTATAATCGAGCCATCGGTCTAAAATGTACTATTGCTATGCCTCACCTACAACTGTGCTGCTGCTGCTGCTGCTGCTGCTGCTGCTTGTCTGGCAACTCTTACTATTATATTCTAGACATTCTTTCCTACTATGTGCCGACTACCAGGTATATTCCACGCAATATCCAAATTGTCCTAGAAGTCCCTCAAGGTCGGTATTGATTTCCTACAGTCTCAGAGAGATTAAGTGACTTGTTCAAGTCACAAAACCCAAGTCTGTCTCACTCCACGCTCTCGCCATAAAAACAAAGATATAAAATTGCACACCTAGTATGACTAATTAAGGAGAAATTCACAAACTGAAGAAGACAAAAGAAGCTCATAGTCATTTCAAATGAACTTCATAACTCTTCAAGGAAAATAAAGTAATTTTCTTTCTTTTTTCTTAATTGCTATGGCTCATGTAATTGTTCACCAGATTCTGGAAATGAGCACTTTATTGTGCTCATGGTGCATGAACATGACTTTCCCTGAATGTGCTCTCCATTCTAGTTCTGAAAACGTAAACTGTGTCAGATACTGGAAAGTGAAACATGGGGTTTGTCTTTGAAAAACATAAAGGATGTCTGCTGAAGAGGTGGCAGGTCTTCTCCCCATGTGCAAAGGCACATATCAGAGAGGATCAGGGTGACCAGAAAACTTTATAGCAAGAATATTTTGTAGAAAATATCAATAAAACCCAATAAGCAATCTACTTGGGGGCTGAACATTGCTAATTTTCTCACTTTCTATAGTTCTTTTCCACGGGCACATAAGTGTCTTCTAGTCTCCTACATCTGAAAAGCAACAATGATGAGAAACTCCAAATTCTCTTTGGCTTTATGTTTAACTGAGCTGAAAACACTAGAAGCCTTCCTTCCCTAAAGTATAACGCGCTGATGTAGAGACTATCCAACTGCAAGGAGAGAAATACTCACCTCTCTTATAACATTTTTTGCTTTCAAGATTGCTTGTGACATGCACTAATTGTCCCTTGGAAAACCATTTCTCATCCATTTTGTGTTTCTATAAACTGTAAATTACTGTATCTTAATTTCATATGATCTGAAATGGTCTCAGACTTTCAGTAGTAAGCCTTTACATTTCTTATCCACAAGGTTGGCCGATGATCTGTTGGCTTGGAAATTCTTGTGGTTCTAGAATTTCAGGACTTTCAAACCTGCCTTGAGATGCACGACTCCAACCAGTGTGCCTGTTCTGTGAGACCCCTGCAATGCCCCCTCAGATACAAGCCACCTGCTAGGGCAGGTTATTTAGCTCACAGCTGGTGATGTAGCTGCTGTTCACCACAAGACACCAGACAAGGTCTCAAAATGGAAGCAGTAGGGAACCAGAAGCATTAACTGTGAGAATGGTAGATCTGTAAGGAAACGTTGACGTCATTTAGTATCATCTCTCATTTTCCAGGAAAGTAAACTCAAGCCCTGTGAGATAAGGTCACTCAGTCACCCAACTACTTGAAGGTTTTGTACAAACTAAAACTTGGGCATTCTAATCTGATGTCTACATGTCGTGAGCATATTTTGTAAATGACCTTAAAATATTATGATTATTAAACTGTTCAGTAACAATCACAATGTTACAATGCTTACAATTGGTTTTGAATGAAATACATGCATCATAGTTTGAGTTTTCAGGTACAATCTCAAATTTAGTTTTATATTACTTGAAACATGTATTTTAAAACTCTGAAGTAGAAATAATACTTTATTGAAAAAAATACTGGAAAATGTAGATGAAAAACCTGATATTTGTTGACATCTCAAAAATACTCTACATATGTTATGGTAGTACATTTAGCTATTTTATACAGTTGGCTTCTTGCATAATTTCCAAAATGTTCTAGAAGACAGAAATACTTCAAATGGAGTCAATTGGAGTTTTAAAAAGAATTTTAAGAAAACCACAATTTTCCTTTGTTCTCTTGCATTCTGAAGAGCTCTGGCTGGTTGATATTCATCTTTGCTTAGGTCTTATCAAGAAAATATTCAAAGCTAAATTTAATTAATCTGAAAACCACAGAAGAATTTTCTTTTCACTCCCTCCAACATTTTGTTTTTCCTTCGTCATAGGAGGTGATCTTCTGTGGTGCAGACCGTCTATGAAACCGCCAAGTGTGGGTTAAAATGTCATTTATGCTCTGTCTTGATCATGTGGCCCTTCTATGCCAAAAGAGGCTGCTTGTCTACCGGGAGAACGTTCTGTAGTGCTGGGCCCTGTGTCCATCTCCAAATGATCACACACAGTTCAGAAATACTGAAAATGTCCCAGACACAGAGAGGTTACTCTTCTGCTTAGGACTAGGGAGTGGTGGAGGTAGACATTATCTATTATTCTCCAATGACATCCAGCATCTGCTACTTGCTAAACCCTGTGTGAACCCTGGACATCACTGACACAGGTCATCTTGTAGGTGTAATAACCAGGCTGGATTTAGCCTCCATTCTTGCTGTCAGGTACTTTTCGAGCATCGTGTTATGTTTGTGAGCTGAAAGCTGTGGAAATAAGTTTTAACATACCTGAGACTACTTCTTAATAATACCTTGCCTTTGATGGCACTTCGCATGTTTTGAAGTGCTTTCTCTGCCTGAGGTGGATATGCCCTGAAGATTCCCCAACCTTGAGGGTGGACAGGACCTGTGAATATGATGGGGTTACACTTAGACTCCTGTGATTACAGTTAAGACTCTGTCTTAGCAGACTTGAGAGAGTCTCCTGCTGGCCTTGAAGTAGGAAATAGCTGTGACAGGCCCCGTGAACAGGCCATGGCGAGGGTGACCCTGGGAGCTCAGAGTGACCCCAGTAGACAGTGAGCAAGAGAACAGAAATCCCAGTCTTCAGCTGCAAGGAATGACAGCCAACAACCTGGAAGAGTTTGGACGTGGTTCTCCCCACAGTGTATCTGATGAGAACCTCGTCTGGCTGACACCTTGATTTCAGTCCTCTCAGACCCTGTGCAGGGACCTGCCTGGACCCATGACCTGCAGAACATGTGCAATAATAAATGGGTGTTGTTTGAAGCCACTAAGTTTGTGGTCATTTGTTATGCAGCAATAGAAAACTAGTAAAAGCAAAGGCAGATAACACTAAAATCATTTCACCAATAAGGAGACTGGTTCAGAAAGACGAACTGATTTGCTTAATTTTATTCTGGACTGAGACTGGTGCCTTGGATCCTCATTTATACTCCAGCATTCTTCCCCCAGTACTGTAACGCTCCAACTGATGAGTATGACTGGTAGCTTTTCTTTCCCTCTGCCCACCAACAAGACAGAAATTGAAAGCATAATATATTGTCTTCTTCCAAATACAGCTCAACACAGAGTAAAGCAATGATTTTATTAATTCCCACTTCAGTTCTGTAGTATAAGGAAAATAATAATCAATATCATATTAAGTGTCAAGTTGATAATATCTGAAAGGAATCTTGAACTGAACATCAGTCTTCATCACTAAACAAACAATATTCTGAATAGTCAAGATCGGGAAATGTGATCGGTAATTCTACCCACTTTTTGTATTGTTTCTTTACCAGATTATTTTTGAAAACCACTACATAGTTCTTTATTTTGAGACAAGGCAAATCTAAGCCTTTGTGCACCATCATCGTTCCCCAAGACTGGAAAACAAAAGAGAGAATGAGGGAAAAAATTAATGCACATTCAATTAAGAATTGTGTTTGGTCAAAGTAAAATTAAGCCCACAGTAATTTACTTACTTGGCCACATTCTTTGCAGATTATCTCCCCATTTATTTGATAGTCGGCAAACCTGTTTTGCAGTGCTCTGTTTCCTCTCACAATATACAGTCTCCTAAAATTACCAAGGAGTCAGAATCACCCCTGAGAATTCGCAGAGGATCAATAACACAGCCCTTGGCTGCTGGACTCGCCGCTCACCCCCGTGCATGCTGTCTCACACCCTGTTCCTTCTCTCCCTCCTTCTACCCAGGTCACCAGGCAGAGGCCCTCTTTCACAGACACCTCTCAAGGGGTATGTTGTCTTTTGTGGCTTCTTTCAAGTTGGCTGATTATTTTAACCAGACTTAAGTCGTTCAAGAATTTGAGAACAAATACAAGCAGACACAAACTGATGTGCCTTGGATCAAAATGGCCTTGGGTTTTACAAGTCTCTCTTCCCTCCCCAGGCAATATATTTAAAAGATGGGCACTTGAAATAGGGATGTAATCTGGGGGCGAAGGAGGGGAAGTTCTGAAAAATAATGAATCTCATTTATACTATTTCGGAAGAACATTTATAATACAATCTGCTTCCTCCCTTATAAAGAAACTTAAAATTGAGTCTTCCTGGACTTACTTGAACTCTGGTGTCATATTGACATGGTGCATCCTCTCAATTACATGGATATCTTTTCCAGAGCAGGCTAGCACACTGCAGTTCTTGCAGAGAAAACTTATTAATGATGGGTTGTCTTTGAATTGCTTTGCAATACTTCTCCTGATTTTCATTTTCTTTTCCATTATACTTTGCAACTGTAATCCCAAAATCTGCATCAAGAAAAGAATATTCAATGCTTTTTTTTAAACATAGTTTCACTGAAGTAAGTAGCCTGGAATTCAGAGATCTTAGACAGTTGTGAAAGTATACACTTAGCCCATAGTCTAGAAATAAACATAATGAGGCAATAGCCCCCAAATAATTTAGTATAGAATCTTCTGTAATCAGGGAAATGTGGAATCTTCAGCTGTTCAAAACACAGCCTGTTTGATTTTAGAAAAGTTCTATTGTGAGAAAGTCTTTGGCAATATTTAATTTCAAAACTCTACCTCTATCTTCTTCCTCCATTAGCTTTAATTCTGTCTCATAAAATAAGTCTACTCTTTCTTCCACATGGAGTCTCTTTAAAGAACTAAGCACTGTTACTTCGCCCCCCTTAGTTGTCTGTTATCTGTGATAAGCCCCCAGTTTCTTCCATTTTTCTTCATACATTATAATTTCCAGGCCTTTCGCTATTTTAGCACATCTCCTCTTTATATATTTGTGGTGGAATGTACTAGTTTCCCACCAAGTAGCCACTCTTCCTAGGAACAGAACCGTAATTTTATTCTAGGTAGAACTCTGCTAGCTAGATGACTGCATTTCCAAGCCAGTGGCCTTTGAGCCATGAGAAGATACCGAGTGGAATTTCCAGAAAGGTTCCTTAAGTATCAGATAGCTGGCATTGCACTTTTGCCTTTTCCATCTTCCTCCTCCTTTCTTCTTAGTGTGAACATGTGGCAGTTTAAATTATAAAAGCTCTGATCTCGAGAATGGAAGCCAAATGATAAAAGGGCAGAGAAGAGGGAGAGAGGAGTTTTGGCTTCCTCACGACATCATGGAGCTGTTGTATGGGTCTAGATTGCCCACCTTCATTATATGAAAGAATAAATCCTTAAATGTTTATATTCTGGATTATGTGGCTAGTGGAGAAACTTACTGCATAACAGAGACAATACAGGTCGTTTATGAGACACAAAACTTGAGAGAGGGACTGGCCAGTTCTCAGACCTCCACAACTTTACAGTAGCAGAAAAATCTAGGTTTTAAATAATTTACCTCCCAACTAAACCTCTCGGAGATAACAAATTTATATTAAATTGCGGAGGAATCTATTGCTTTCCTTAAGACCGAAGGGAAGTTTTCAGTAAAATCATCATGCTGATGAACAGAGCTGAACGGCCCATTTCTTTGGCTCTCACCTCTGTGTTTCAGCCTTGATTTGAGGTAGCCAGATTCATCACAGAAAAGAGAACAAAACCTTGCAAGTGCACCTGCTGGGTTACAGCACGGTTTAATCAGACAAGTACAAAGACTAATTTCCTATGTAAATTATAACAATATGATGGATTGAAGTATTCTGTTCCTTAAAAGTTTAATTAGGTTGTTCTTGCAAGATATCTATGGCTCAGTGAGCTGATTAAGAGGCGATCTGGGATAGGATCACATACGTGTGGGCTATTAAGAAACACCTATTAGTGTGAGAGAAAGAAACAAAACCAAGGTCAGTGTTTGGATATGTAACCAGGACTAAAAGAATAGCTCTAAAATAGTAAAGAATATAAGACAATTAGGGAGGGAAAAAAAGAAAAGAAATCATAATAAATACATGGAGCCACAGCTATAATCAATCTAAGTCCAAATAAAACGTAGTAACATAGCAAGAGTTGTCGGGGCAATGCCAGGGAAAGTATTTAATATCTTCAACTTGCTCCTAGGAGTCTGATTTGGTTTAAGAAGCTTTTAGTTATGTATAAACTCTGTATATCACATGGATAAATGACCTCACCTTACATGTGGTTGCCTGAATCGTTCATTAGTGGTTGCCTGGACATTGTCTTGCGAAGGATTTTTTAAATCAGAAGAAAGGAGTGCTGTGAGCTGATAGCAAAGTCTGCTGGGGACTTGGAACAGAGCAGTGGTGGCATGTACCCCACATCGTGGCCATCTCTGAGCATGCTCTGAGCCTGCCTACCTGGAGTAGTTCTAGGATGGTAGGTCAATTAACCAGAGGAGACCTAAAAAGGCAGTTCATTCTAGGGAACCCAAAGGGGCTGTGTCTTGCTCTAGAGAGTAGCTGGGAAAATGTGATGCATAAACTCCAGAAATGGTTCTAGAGTTTACAGACAACAACTGGTCTTGAAACATCAGTCCTTGAAATCATCCCACTTGATTTATTCATTTAGGACTTTAAATGTAAAGCAAAAACTTTCCAGCGGTATTATATGGCCACAAATGTTTGATTTGACACCATAAAATGTTTGGTTTGCCTTATATTTAAAGGGGTTTTAAAATATAAATTCGTGTAGAAACCTGGCCAGGAAACCTTGGAGTTGGTTATAGCAATGCACACCAATTTGAAAGCATCCCTTTCGTGAAACTCTATTTAGGGGAGAGCCAATTCCAATGTTAAGAAACTAACATTCACACCCATATGCAAGGGTGTGAATTTTCTTCTAAATGGATTGTTTGCTATTATAGTAGTTACAGTCTTTAATTCAGTGGTATGGGGGATTTCCTGAAATATTGTAGAAATACATTCTTCCTTCACCGCATTCCTCTCACAACTCAAACGACTCTACGTTAGTAAACTGAGATGCAGCAAGATGACAAATTATGTATTTTCTTAACATTCAGGGCTACCCTCAATGTCTCTTCCTCAAAGAGGCCTCTCCCAAACACCCAGTGTGAAGGGCCCACCTGGAGGCTTGTTCCACATTGTCCTATTCTAATTCTCCAGCACATCTCTCCATATGATGTATTTCTTGCTTTATTTCTGTTTGTTTCTCTTCCTTAAACCTCACTATGTACATACTAAAATATAAGTTCCATGCAGCAGGGGTCTATCTGCATGGTTTGCCAGTGTGTCCTCTATTTCTAGGATGCTGCCTGACACACAGCAGGTGTTTCACAAATATTTCTGGGATGAAAAAAACCACAAAAAACTGTGCCTGTACAATCAAATTAGACCAAACCAAAATTACCAGGTTGGGTTGAATAAGTGATGAGTGAGTTGCACTCATCTTTCTGGAGCAACGACAGCCTAAATCTGTATGATCAAAGGTTATAGAATGGCTCCTGACAATTTCTGCCCACCATGGATCTAGAGTCTTTGCATCTGAATCTGGACTTAGCATACCCCATCACACTGGAATTTATAATCCAGCACAATGTTTGTCTGGAGACTTAGCCACAGAGGTATCAATGGCAAACACACGCAGCCACTGTCAAGTGAAAACTAAGCTCAGAGTTGGCCCGGAACAATACCTTATGCGCAAACTCCTCTTGTTTCATATTTTGAACACGGTCTATTGCTGTATACATCATTTTCTCTCGGAAATCATTAACTATCTCACGTTCGATAACTCCTGAGCCGCTCTGGGCAACCAGGACGTAGGTGCTCTCGTCAGCTCTAGCTCGACCACGGGCCTGGAGAACATAAAGAAATCAAGTGAATGAAGAGCTATGCCATGGGAACTCACCTATGTTTGTCCTCAAATGACATTCATAGCTCAGTGTCTCAGTCTTAAATGAACCTTCCATTCTCAGCAAAATTAGTTATTATTCACGTTTTGTAAATCGGCTATTTGAAATTCCAAATGCACTTCGTGTAGAAACAACTTTCTAAAGTGATGATGGCTGGATCCCCAGCAGCCCTCTAAGGCCTCAATTACACAAGACCATCCTGTCCAGCCTTTCTGTCCCCAAGGACCCCCTCGCAAACCCTGGGAATCATGTGATTTGGGCTGGGGGAGCCCCACTCCCCGTGCCTGGCAGAAAGGATGAATGGGGGAGAAGCGGCACCTCTGACCTTGACACCAGGGCTGTGGAGCATGCCACTCTGTTCTGGCATCCTACCTTCAAGTTGAGCACATTTTTCCATGAAAACATGCTCAATGTGGTGATAAAATTTCCATAATCTTTAAATTAAAGTAACAATATTTACGTACATTTTGAATAACAGAAAATGCCCAGGAACCTCACTATCGAACTTAATATTATCCCCATGAAAAATGCATTCTGAGTAATAAGACACTGACTAACACATCAACTCCTAAAATACAAATACTTAATTTGATGGCTGTCTGGTTATCTTAAGGCTTCCATGACTTGCTTTCCATTCAAGGATGCAATTAAAAGTATTAAAAAAAAACAGCTAATTTTATAGGAATAATATTATCTCCATTCATCAGCACAATTCTCACACATACTCAACAAAAGGTAAAAATTATATTGTTAACATAGTGTGGGCAAGAAATAAAGTGAAACTGAATGAAAACTGGGACATTTCACTAATTTTTTCTTTTTTGCATGTATATGTCAGCCTCCCTCAACATTTAATTATAAAAAATTTCAAACATAGGGAAAAGTTGAAAGAATAATAAAGGAAAATGCTAAAACAGTAGGGCTCCCTGAGGTTCAATGTGTTCCTCTGCCAGACGTTTGCCGGACACTGCGCTTCAGATCCCGGGCCCAGCTGGGGCCTCAAAGACGTCCTAGGAATGAGGACGCCTATTCTGACTCTTAGAGATGGGCCATGTGTCATGCTCCTAAAAAGTTTTAAGACACAGAAATAACAACCAAAGAAGAGTTGTTTAAAAATACAACAAGTATCTGGTTGTCAGATGAATTAAACAACAATATAAAGGCAGTACAGCATGGCTCTTCAAGATTTCTCTTTTTTTTTTTAAATTAAAGTATATTTGATATAAAACACTAATAGTTTCAGGTGTGCAACATAATGATTCAATATTTGCATACATACTGATTTCTCTTTTAGTAGGAAAACATATTTTAAAGCTATGTGTGCTGTTTTAATAAAAGAAAACAAAACAAGAACATAAGATCAAAAATTGACATAGTTGAGGTATTTGAATGTACCTGGACCATGGCTATTTCATTAGTGACGAGACCATAACGGATAACGATGTTACACTCTTTAATATCCAGACCTTCCTCTGCCACCGTGGTAGCGATAAGCAGATTTATTTTCCCCGTGCGGAATTTACTTATGACTTCTTTTTGTTCATTCTGGAGAAACATTTTAATAAATTAAATGTAATGCAAAACACATCAGAATCTTCTAATTAGGAAAATAAATATTAAATTGCAATTGGTCAGTGTAAATCCAAGGATTAGATCATACACGGATTTGCTACCATCTGTTTTTGGCACTGAACAAACACATGATGGGGAGACAACATTTGATTTCCAATCTGGGATTACCACCCAATAACAAAAATATTTCCATCCACCAGTCTGGAGGTGGGAAGGCCATCATTTATGCCAGCGAAATAAACTGATGGGTGACCTGCGAGGAAGAAAGGAGGCGGTGCTCTCAGCTGACAAGAGGAAACGGTGATGGGAAACTGAAGTGGGCTTTGCTTTTCACTGTGTTGAGTTCAGAATCTTTTAATAGTCAGAGAATAAGATGTAGTGACACTTTTAAAGATAGTCGAATTTTGAGTTGCAGAGAAAACATACACTGTATACTGCATTTGGTCACTTTAAGAGTCATTTGAGAAAAAAAAAAACAAACATATGAAATAATCCTAGAAGAAATGGAAAACATTGGCTGCCTCCAGGGAGGAGAGCTGGAAGGCTGGAGGACAATGGGGAGCCCTGAACTTAATGATTTTGAAAGAGGCAAATATATTATCTGTTCAAAGGGATAATAAAATACAAATGAAATAACAGGTTATTAAAAACATAATTGAGACAGCTATATCTACAAGGGAAAAAAATCTGAATTCTGAAAGTTAATACAGGTAAAGAAATTAAACACACACTTTGGCCCTTGCATAGGAGGGATGGGTTAGCGTCTGGCGCAGCCAGCGTAGTTCTTCGTAACGGTTCTTCTCAAAGCTGTTGGTCCAGAGGCCTTTGCTGCATATTCACACTATCTTTTGCCCCCATACATTAAACAGAGATGCACACGTCAGTCAGACAGGCTGTGTGTTCTCCTGACTCCTTCCCTTTCTTTTCAGGGCCAGATGTTACGTCATGTGTCTTTATTTGACCCCTAACTGCTGGAGAATTCTGCAGAAAGCTCCCTTCCTCATATTCTCGGATAATTTCTGCTTCTTGTGCTCAGGCCCACTGATAAAGACCTCCTAGTCCTTGGATTCTAGCAGATGCTGTGCCTTAGTTCAAAGGAGTAACTTTAATTAGAGAACTTCAGACACAGTGTCAGACCCTCAAATCACATCAAGTCGATGCCTAGCTCCTCTCCCAGTGGGTAAGGTCAACTCAGTGCCTAAGGTGAGGAGGATGTGGGGAGTGACCAAGGGGGTGTGTTCTATATTTTGGCATGCAGCCACCAGGTCTGAAATGGATGAGGAGCAAAAAGTAGCTTGAATGCCTACTTTCCATTTTCACTCCACCTCTTTTCAAAGAGGAGTTGAGGCCACATAAAAGCAAAGTCATAACACTAAGGCTAATATAATAGAAACTAAAAAACAGGACTAGAAGTGAAAGAGTACAGACGTATTACTTATAAGGATTGACACAGAGGCTGAGAGAATGAACTTCAGTTTTGCCTGTGAGTTTCCGGGAAGCTAGGGCAAAAAGGGAAACATGTTAAGTATACTGACTCTCATCATAAAGAAGAAAGCAAACTCCTTCCCCAAGGAGAACAGTGCTTTCTCTGGCATAAATTTTAGAGGCAACTGTAACGTGAGAACATGTACAGAGTGTATCGAGAGTCATGGTAGGCAATTTCAAGAACTATGTCTTTTCAGCAAACATTAGAACAGATTTAATTTGCTCCATTGGACTAAATGATGAAGCCCATAAGAGAATTAAAGTGTTCTCTTGTCCAGCAAGACTCAAGGTCAATGTGACTTCAGAAGAACATTTTACCCTAAACCGTCCTTGTTTCACCCATGCTTTTAATGTCTATGAATGCTTTTCTTCTCTCCCAAGGTTTTTTGTTTGTTTGTTTGTTTGTTTTATTGTGCATATACGTAGTACAATGAATTGAAAACAAAACAAAACAAAATCTTTAAAGCAAAAGAAAACCTCTCATGGTCCCAGATCTCTAACACATCAAATGTCTTAATTTTTCCAAGCTCCCTTACAGATCTCATACTATGCAAACATATTTTACATAGTTCTGATTATAAGCACACATTTCTGTGGGAATTTTATTTTTCTGCTTGATGTTATATTGCAATCATTTTCCCATTTTGTTATTTAGCTTAAATGTCAATCATTTTTGCAAAGGAAATTCAATTTGGAAAGTTCCTTCAAGTATGTGAAACAAAATGACTTCTAGAACAATGCTTAGCCTATTAAATACCACAGATTCGATTGCTATTAAACTCACATTTTCTTTCAAGATCAAGTGTTTCATTCCATAAAATTATCTGTGGGTTGGTGAAAGGACTGATGAAAAAAAGACTACAACTATTCCTTTTGGGAAAAGAAAGAAAAGCGTAAGAAAAAAATTCCAAAATAATTTTCACACCTGTGTCATGGGCTTGAACTCGCTGCTGTGTCCAGCTCCAATCAGATAGTGGGCTTTGACTCCTACTTCTGCAAATTTTTCATTCTCAGAGATCCACTGGGAAAGGGCATATGCACTCTGTCGTGTTTTGGTGAAAATTATTCCTCGTGCTGATTCCTCAGTCCTTGTATATTGTTCCATTATGGTGTTTCTTAACTTGGTCAGCTTTTCATTTTCATGGTCTGGGTTTTTAGCCAGCTTTTTCAACATTTTCTTGTTTTCTTTAAGAAATAATTCACTTAAATTAGTAAAATGCGTGAATAATTACACTGGAAGATTTTATATAATGATGTACTAAGATATTCAACTACAGTTGATCTTGTGCCATAGCTAATAATCAGGCTAGTTCTAAAGAAAAATGACTGTGATCATACAGCTTATGACTAGTCTGATCACATCAATTAGAAATAGCCCCAATATGAATGGGACTTCTCTCAAAATGAAAGACTATTTTAAGAGGGTCTTTTGAAGCACTCTTGAGAAGGAGTGGGCTCATCCCAAAGAGGTGGTGAATGCATGAGACCATGCAAAAATGTTACACTGATTCTTACCCCAAAATAAAGTCATGAGAAATCTATCTGTATCATCCAGTTTCAAAGGTTTCTTTTGATCATCCTCATCTTCATCACCACCATCATCACCACCGTCACTACTCTCATCACTGTCATCTCCTAGGACTGCAAACTTCTTTTCTTTCTCATCACTGTAGAAAGCGTCAAGGTGATTGTAGGCATCAACCATTCGAATTGTATCATTAATTTGTAGGGCCTCATTGTACTTTCTCAAATGTTCTGCACAAACACGATCTTTGCGATTTCCTTCTCTTGCAGCTAAGAAAGAATATATTGTGTACAGTGAAGCGATGATAGAACACCACTCCCCGGCCCACCAAACTGTGCTGTGGACTTGAATATGTTTATAATGCTGACTTGAAAATAGGCTTCACCTTGTTTCTGAAACGAGCAAATCAAGGATCAAAATGTGCCATGAGCACTAAAAGAAAGCAAGTTTTCTGACTCCTCGACTTGCTACTGGTGTTCTGTGTCAGCGAGAACACGCACTTGATTCATGCTGACTCAGAAGAACGGCATGACAAACATATTAATTGAGTTTCTGTTTGGAGATAGAGAAGTTAATATTTATCTTAATATTTTAAATATACAATAAGTGAAAGACTGGAGATAAAGAGAAAACAGATGAATTGATGCCTCTTTCCTTAGTAAGGAATGAGAACGAGTTTATCCTTGTCCTACTTAGAACACAGAAATTCCATTTGCTATTCCATTTGCTTTCAGTTTGCTTGGGATTACGTGATACACCATCTGGAATCCTGGCATAAATGTGGGATAAATTGTTAGGTCAAAACCCAAATTACCTTTTTTTTCCATTTGAATGAGCCACTGTTCATAGGGTTGAGTTCCAAAATCTGACATTGGACAAATTTGGCAAAATGCTTGAATGTTTGTCATTATTTCTAGAAGTTTATTTTTAAATGGTTCCTAAAAGCAAATTATATACTTATTCTTACATGTTTATATTGTTAAATGAGTAACAGTATTTGTTAAAATAATTTCTGTGTTATAATAAATTTGATTCAGAATCTATCTAGACAAAGTAACAAGCTCATCTCTGATCATGTCTTTGTACACGGACTTTTTAGTCAGCTTCTCTTTCACCTCTGCCCTCCACCCTCAAGCCACACCAACACCATGTATCCCTGTTGGAATTTCATTTTAAAAGTCTGACAAATTAAAATTAATGAATAATATATACACTTTGATTAATAATAGTAACCTTAAAAACATACATTAAAGTAATGCCCCGATTATTTAGAAAGCCTGTAATCTCATTTAAGAAACATTTCTTTTTTAGAAGAATTGGTTATAGTATAATTTCTACCAAAATAAAGTTAAAAGGCAGAGTTTTGAAAAAAGCCAGACATAGAAGAGTGCATACTATAGGATTTCATTTACATAAAGTTCAAGATCAGTCAAACCCCTCTTTGGTGTTAGAAGTCAAGACAGTGGTTCTCCTAGAGGGGTGAGTGACTGGAGGGGAGAGTGGGAGGTGTTGGGGGTTGTGGCAATGATCTGGATTTTGTTTATACAGGTGTGTTCAGTTTAGGAAAGTTCAACCATCTGTACACTTAGGAATTTGTACTTTTCAGTACATGGGTTATGCTTCAATAAAAAGTATACCAAAGTTAATTAAGTTTAAAAGTAAGATGGCGAATTCTTTTAATATATCCTCAGGATATTGTGGATTTTTAAAATGATTATGAGTAGAAACATGCATTTTAACTTATCAAATAAAACTGAATTAAGTAACAAAAAGTGAAGAAAAATAAAGTACATTCAAATGGGCTAGTTCAGCTGGAATAGACAGTACTCCTTTTGAGAATTTCCCCCCACCCCAAAATTGATCTATGGAGATTGGTTACTAATATTGGTTTAGTGCCTACTACCTTTCAAACACAATATTATCTATTATGTATGGTTCATATCCAACATCTTTACGAGGTAGATTTTCAAAGATTACACTCATTATCAAGTACATACAGCTAAAATGTATCATGTCTGGTATATTTTACAAGAGACATTATTGACATAATGTACTGGTCACAATGTCTAACTGACCCTTAGTTGGCTTTTATAATCCATGAAAATGTTCATCACAAAAACACCATTAAAGTAAATATTCACTTCTTTACATGAGGATTTCCCTAATAAAGTAAACATGTCAATTAGGTAGGAGTCTCATTATCATTGTCCACTAAGATCTGGTAGCAAAAAAATGGCTTTGTTCAATGTCAGAAAACCAATTCTGGAATTCACTAAGAAAGTAAAAAGAATAAAACAAGCCATGTTGTCCCTCTAGTTTGGCCATACAACCCTCCCCTCCCTCACCCATCATGGCTCTTATGTAGTCAACCAATCAGTGGGCTACTCTTCACATAACTCAGAGAGCTAAAAGAAGGATTGAAGAGAGAACTTACAGCAGGGCTTTTCTTCCCAATATCAATAAAGAAGAATAAAACTATAATTCCTTGCTAAAAATTTGAAATAATATACTTCAGATGGTCAGTATAAAATAATCTTTGCATCTTTCAATCAAATAAACATAAAATTTCAAGCATACTTCTCTGGTGTCATCTGCAATTACAAACTTTTTGCATGGTTCTTTTATTTGGTCTTTAAGTTGATTAATATTTTCTTTCACGGTTTTAATGGAAACTGCATCAAGATTGGCACATATCTGGAAAAAAAGACATTTTTCAACATTCAAATAATTACTTTGCCCTTTCAATTGATTCAATGAGGAATTCTTTCTCATGTAAGAAATAGATAGCATGATTTGCTAAACATAGCATTTTAGTATTACTTTACTGTGGATCTGATTAACTAATAACATTTATCTTGAGAGAATAAAAGGGAGCTTCTAAATCAAGTTGGTGGAAAATTTCAGGAAAAAAATGTATTTATTTTCATTCCTTAAATTCCATTTTCCAGCTGGAAAAATGGCTGTGGAGAGAGTGCATCAAATTGCAGAGGCTGGTTATGAGATAATCGTATTACATGAGGCATTTTAAAGGCCATCCTGACATCCAAGCGTCTTATTACTACTTTCTTCTATGCATAAAAGAGGACAGTGCAACGCGAGGAGCAGCCGAAGCACACGTGCCTGGATTTGGATTGAAGTTAGTCCTTAATCCTAGCAACAAGTTATACCTTGGAGCCAATAATTGTGCCTCCATCTACTCTATGATATTTACTGACTTCAACTTTAAGTCCCTTCAAAGTAAGGGACTTAAATCACAAATTCAACTGCCTCAGGTGCCAGCATATCTTGTGAGTTACTCTGAAATCATTTGATGCTTGAGGTCCACAAAAGCACTTTATGTGTTGTTACCATTTTGGGTGAAGGGACAATGCTGACAAGAAATACATTTTTAATGTAAGATTTTCCTATCGTGATTTTCTCATTAATTTGAATTACCCCAAATCTGAGGATCACACAGAACAAAAAAGGGCACAGAAGAAAACACGCAACTTTGAAACTCATGGAGTATGTATGAAAATTAGAAACCCTCACAGTTTATGCATATTTCTATATCAAATAGATCACTAAGTTTAGCAACAGGGGTAGATATTTAAAAGAAGGTATTTCATTTGTCCCAATTTTTCCCTAGTTATGTTTGCTCTCCTTAATTTCTGTGCTACTGTTCTGTGTCATTGCTGTTCATTAGCGCATATTACTGTTTTGTAGAATACTGAATGTATTTACTTTATCTGAAGCATATAGATTTCACTTAACTGATGATCATAAACTTTCTTTCATTCACTCTGTGATTCTTGGACTTCATCTTCCCCAAGAAGCACTGGCATTTGCTCTAACTTTGGCTCTTTGGGTTACGCATAAAGTTAACGACTTACTTTTAAAATGTGTTCTTCGGCTTCGGCTTGCTTTCTGGCCCCTCCAACACCTGGTGATGCTGTTAGCCCCAGTATCTGAGGTAAGGGAATCACTGGTTTGTTTTCTTTTTCGAGTTCCTTGTTTTTCAATTTCTGTTTCAAATAACGCCTCATGATGTTATTATAGACTTCTTCTTTGTTGGTGTGATGGCATTCATCAATGATGATGAGGGAAAAGTCTTAAAAGAAAATCATCATGGTTTATTTGGCCACACTGGCAACGTACAGTGAAAAAAGTCCCTTTAAGCTAGTAAATGGAGCTGCCATGGGGATGTCTTTTCTTGGGCAGAATACTGGCAGGAGCGTCCTTCACTTTTTAAGGGGAAATGCAACTATCCTAGCCACCTGTAAATACGGAAGTTTATATATTCTAATCATGAAACTGTCCCGGTTAGAGATCATCCCCATTTAACAAATGAGTTTCTCAAAGTTCATAGACCTGAAAAGTGTTATGGGATGAATTTAAACCATGACTTACTCCCCAAAACTCTCAGGATTATACTTTGTTCTTTAATAAAATACTTACTTTTAGGTTTGTGAATTTTACTTTTATTCTAGCAAATGAAAACACTACAGAGGAATAATTTTACCTTTTTTAACATTGCATTTAATTATTATGATTATATATACTTCTTTCCCTTCCTCCTTCCTACCTTTTCTTCCCATCCCCCACAAAATAGAAAGGACTGTATTTATTCTATGGAGAAGAAGGCATATCTAACAGGATGTATTAGCATACAAAAAGAACTTGTCAAAACTTAGAAATAAAAGTAAATGGAAAGTCCAGGAAGTGTTTGATTTAATAATATTCCTGTACAGAACAAAATGATTTTATTAAAAACTAGCAACTTTTTGTTTGCTTCCTCAAAGAAGGCTTTCAATAAAAACTTAAGCAATAGAAAACAGTTTAAACCAAAATGAACTTTTAAATCAATATTTCAAAATTATTTAATTAACACAACCTCTGTTACTACCATTCATATTACTACTAATTCTTTTTCCAGAAACAAACATTTCAACCAACCTGACAACTGCACACCAGCATCTTCTCCTTCTTCTGAGTTTACAAGGGCATTTTCAAGGATTTGAGCTGTACTGATAATAACATCACAAGACTTGACAACTTTTGGAAATGATATTTTCAATTGGGTGTCACCACTTAATCCAATAACATGATACCATTTCTTCAAAAATGGTTCAAACTCCTTGCGGAAGAGCTGTTCAACTAATGGTACCTTGAAAAATGCCAAAGTTAAAATGAGAGAGAGAGAGAGAAAGAGCATTGTCAGACAAAAGGAGTACTGATCAAAGGCCTACCAGGGTCAAGCATTAACAGGGGTGTTTACATTATCAGTTGATTAAGCGTAACAGCCTATCCATCATTCCATTCATTCATCTGTCAATAAACATTTATTGACTGTCTATTAGGTGTAGACATTGTGTCTGGGACACAAAGAAGTTTAAGATATGGTTGACAACTTTCAAGATCTCATTCTAGCTGAGCATAAGGACCAAGACTAAACAAAACAAAACAGATTATCACAACACAATGTGATAATCACCCATGAAAACACATAGAAAGTGACAGTAAAAGGGAAGAAGCAACTGACTGCTCAAAAGAAGGGTTTAGAAGGAATTTTAATCTTGTAAACCATGGGTCAGTGAAGAGATAAATTGAAACTAAGGCTGAATTTGTAGAACAGGGTCAGGCTATAAAGGGCTATGAACACCAAGCAAAGTATTTTAAATTTAGTATAACAGTCCACAGGACTCCTGTGAGTTGTGTTGTGGAGTAGATTTATTCCTCTGTTTGTCTGGGGGTCAGGCCAGAGGCACCCTGCCTGGAGACCTGGAGGGAACAGAGAACCAAAAGTGAGGGGTGAGACACTGCCTAGGAGAATGGATGGAGGCGAAGGGATGGACAGCTGGACTAGCTTTGATGGCCGAGAGGAAACAACAGCAAACAGTCTTGGCAAAAGAAGAGAAAACTCTTTCGGAGGTGTTGGCGAGCGAGAGTGCGTTGGCACTGAGATGACTCTACCTGATTGGTGATTCATGGTATCTTCACATTGGCCAAGAGGTGAAAATGTAAATCTTCATGAAGACCCTGACCTGCAAGACCATCACCCTGGGGGTGAAATCCAGCAATATCATGGAGAATATAAATTAAGGCTAAGATCCAGAATAAACAAGGCATTCCCCCTTGGCCAGCAGAGGCTCATCTTCACAGGCAAGCGGCTGGAAGATGGTCTCACTCTTTCTGACTACAACCTCCAGAAAGAGATGCCCCCACACCTAGTCCTCTGAGGGGTGCTGTCGGTTCTTGTCTTGCATTCACAACGCCCAGTGATGGCATTATGCTGCACTCTAGTCATCTGCCCCAATTTATGCTCAGAAATTACCAGCTTTGGTAATAGCTCCACCTGTTCAAAGTGGTAATAAAGGTTTTGTTGCATGGTAGGAAAGAAAAAGAGCTGATTCTCAGTACGTTGTAGTGTCTGCTGAAGGTGGCTGGGTTGACATCACCAGCCATTCAGGGTAGCTCCTGTATTAGGGGAAAAGAAAAACCAGGCCATCTTGAAGATTATATTTTAGAAGAATTTATATAATGGAAGCCCAGGTGTGCACAGTGTGGCAAATAGAGAGTTGGCAGGAAGGAAGGAATAGTTTCAGGGACAAACAACAAGAAATGTGCATTATATTCCTCATAATGTTAATTACCTGATAATGTGATCAGTGGTTATCTTTCCACAAAAAGGTATGTGCTATGCTTTTTTTTTTTTTAACTTGAGGTGAGCTTCACTTATGTGAAAAATAAGGACTGGCTGACCCTCCTGGCTAGAGAACAATGCATGAAGAACACTGCTGTGTATTATTATTTAGTAGAAATGGTAAAGGCTTCTAAGAGTGAATGTGGAGGGAAGAAGAGGTTAAATGGAGTCTAGGGATTTAAAATCAATAACCAAGTTTGGTGAGTAAAACATAACACAGGGTAGAAAGAATAGAAAGAGAAACTTTCAGTTAGTGGGGTTTTTCCCCCCAAAGTGAAGTCTCTGTCTACCTGCCAAAAAACTAATTGAGAGATTTTGCAAATACAGACTCTGAGCCCCATCCAAGAACTACTGAATCTAGGGACTGACCATCTCTGGGGACAGAGTCCTGAAGCTCGAGCTTTTATGAAGTTTCCATTATGATATTATAGTCTTTTCAAAATTTGAGAACCATAGCTCTTCTCTTTCTTCCACAAAGTCATTTCTGCTTCAGTGTTTCACAACTAATTTTTCCATTCTACCTATACAAGAGAGAGGAAATAATCGAAGAAGGAAGTCAGCAAAAAAGATTCTGAGGAAGAGAAGGAAAATGAAACTCAGGGGAAAGAGACAGCATGCCCCAGGGGAAAGGGAGCTCTGGAAACCAGGCCATCTTGAAACATTCCAGCTTCTTGCTTGCTGTGTGACCTTGGACAAGTTACTTAATGATCTCAATGTTCACATTAATAAAGTCAAGAAAATATTAACTTGTGGTGGTGGAATTGTTAAAAACATAAAATTAAATAGAGTTTGACATATTGCCAGTACTTGGAAAACTTCCCTGATATGTCACCTTCCTTTTATTCTAGCAGGAAACCTCAGCTCTGCCGCTTATTGGCTGCATGTTCCTGATGTGCCAATTAAAACCTCAGAAACTAAGTTTCCCATTGGCAAAATGGAAAATATACGGAAATACAGTTACTTCAAAGAGTATCCATGTGGTTTCAATGAGATAACATAAAGTGCAATACAATATTCATTATTATATTATTAATACACACTTCTTATTTCCTAGACTGTAGATTTTAGTGTGGACAGGATCTGCATTTGATTTGTCTTTAAATAACCACATGCTGCCAAATTACTGAAGAATATCTATACTAGAGTGACATAGAAACCTGAGATTCTGCCCATAAAGGTGATTCAAGACCTTCTAAAGAAGTAGCATCTTCTGGACTATACAACAAAAAGATGTCACAGGAGGTAGCAGGTGTTGGAAATCCTGATACTCCCTTTGGGTGGCGATGACTTCCTACTGAAGGACACAGGGAGAGCCAGATGCAAGTCTGACACGGCTAACTGAGAGGTGTGTGGTCCTCTTGGAGCCTTTTCCTGAGATGTGACAGAGCGCCTGCCAAGACTAATCAAACCCAGCAGCTACCCACTTCTGCTGAATCATATGGGGCTGCATCACAGCGCCTGAAGGGACCTGGGAGTTATCTCTCGTGATGCTGAAGCCCTAGATAGGAAATAGAAAGTCTGGGAACACAGGTGGTGTTTTCATTTCTCCCTGCATTTGAAGGCAATAACTTTGGAAAGGATGGAGTGGGGGGGATGAAAGTAAATGGTGTTAGGGAACAGGATTTCTCCTTCCTAGATCAAGGGTTATAACACCTGGACGTTGGGCCAAATACAGAATACAGGCTATATTGACCTACTGGGTCAGAGATTTCCTGACTCAATCAAACAGAATTAAAGCCAAATCTACTTTAAAATTCAAAGAAATGGGTTATAAAATAAATAATTATGACATAAATGTAAGACGTAGTGAAGGGATTTCTGGAAATTCTTAGGGGAAAACAACAGGGATGAGGATCAGGAATGAGACCCACGTCCTTAAATGCCTACACAACAATGCAGGGAATATGAGTAATTAATGTGGACAATTTAGCATTTAAACATGGCTGCAAATGTGGGTTTGTAAGAATCACCTAGATCCAATGGGATGAAAGATTCGCGACTACAACCAGCACTAAGAGGATAAGGAGTTATTATAAAAAGGAAGGTGCATTAGATGCATACAAAAACATGAAACCTGGAAAGATCTATCAATATGGATGATTTGAGGAAATAAACCAAAGTATTGCATTTAGGCTCAAAAATTAACTGCACAGAGATATCTTGAGAGATCTGGCTTAACAGATTTTCAAATGAAAAGGAGCTGAGGCTTCTTGAGTTATGGAAAGCTCCAGAGGAATCTGTGGGCGCCAGCACTGGTGACAAAGGAAACCCACTCATGGCCCAAGTGTCACATCGTATCTTTCCCACACTCTGCACTAAGACTACATCTACAGTATTTTGTCCAACCCTGGATGCTGTGTTTTAACAGGTCTTAGATAATGTTTGGAAGAGTATGCGCTCTCAGATGATGAAAAGTCTGGAAGTCTTGTTACATGAAGAACACGTAAAGGAAATGGAAATATTTATCCCAGGGAACTAAAAGAAAATTCACTTTGGAGTCACATGAGGCTTGCTGCTGTCTCTCTGTGAAGGGCTGTCATAAGGCAGAAGAATTAAGACTTAACTTGCTCTGTGTAAGAGGAAAGAACTCTAACCATGAGTGTGGTTCCAGAGAAACAGATTCTGGTGAACACAGGCAGGGCTTTCCCACAGCGTCCGTTGTTCAAAGAATGAACTGAGCTGTCTTATTAGAAAGGGGACCTCCTCGATGCTAGAAGTTACTCAGCAGAGGTGAGAGAACCACTCAGCAATGAATGAAAACTGGATCTTGAAGTTCTCTTTCAACTCTAACAGTCTATGATGCTATGACCTGATCAGGGAAGTGAAGGAAGTTGATCAATCAAAAATAACTTCTAGGTTTTGAGGCTACATGCTTTTGAGGAGATGATATAACCAACAGAGAGACAGATAAATCAAGGAGAAGAGCCTTTAGGAGAGCAGATGGTAGGAATGAGTTTAAGGAAATGGCAGAATGTTCAAATGGTATTAAGAGTATCAGCTTAAGTCGTTTCCAATCCAGTTAATTTTGTTCTTTTCTCTTAAGACCTTGCTCACTGGTTAAGAAATTCCACTTCCTTAGTTATAAAGGTGAAGAGGAAGGGATGGAAGAAAGAATTAATATTTGCTAAGTCACTCTGAGGCTTTAGCTAGATTATCTCATTTAAACTTTTGATTGCTGTATAGGGCAGTATTATTTTATTCACTTTACAGATGAGGAAACTAAAATGAGGTTAGTAAGTGATCTGTCTAAGATCAAATTACCAGTGGGTAGAGATAGCATTCACACCTAGATTTCTTTTATTCCAAAAGATAATAACCTTAATAAAGGAAATATATGAAAAGCTATGAAAAAATTGTAATATATCACTATTAGCACACACACAAAACTGTTCTAACAATGGACACAAGTACAAAGGCACAGTCTTCAGGCTTAGCAGGTACATACGAAGTGCATCTGGAGCTACATGACAGAGACCAGCAAGATCATGGATTCTGAGTATGCTTCTTTAGTACTGAAAGCAGGTTGCAACTAAAACTTTCCGTATAATAGAAATAAAAAAAAATATAAGAAAGTTACATAGTCTACTACTCTATTTTCTATAAAGGAACACATGAGAACCTAAGTAATGGAAAAAAAAAAGACTGTTTCTGGTCATGGAAAAGTGTACTCAATTTTACTCCATAAAGCAGTAAAGATTAATAACTCCCATTTACAAATTTACAAATTAATAAACTCTGATTTATCTGAATAAAGCTCAATGAACTAGATTTCATTGAAAACAAAGAAGGCACAACTGTTTATGAAGATAGGCTTCAAATATCCTAAGATATGAATATTAAAGAAAACCTCAGTTGCACTGAATGATATATATTTATATATATATATATAATATGTGAAAATTATTTATCTGTTTAACTTGATATAAATCAGCCAAATATTCACTTAACTTTCTCTTTATTCTCAAATCAAATGATATATATTCTGAATAAAGAGTTCTTGTGACTTTTGACTACGGGTCAATGGTTAAAGATACTCTAGAACACAATGTTCCATCCTAGACTCCAGTGATATTTTGAGGTCATTTATGTTCACATGCAATGATAGCTTAAATTAGTTCCAGTCCATCTTAATGGGTAAATCTGGGTAAATATACTCTTTACACATCAGTTACAACTATTTGGTTTAATGTTCTGGTTTAACTGAAAAAAAAATCTATTTTAAAGGCTAATAACTTAGATATTACATATAACTGGAAAAACAAAGATTTAAAATAACCTATTTTGAAATTTTTCCTAATTAAAATAGATCTGTGCCATCCATTGTTACAAATGTCACTATACGAGTGCTTCAGAAAATAATAAAATGGGAATAAATGCTCTACTATGTGCTGTTTGAATACCTTATTGACAAGGACTATAACTCTTCCAGGTTCTGATGCTTTTTTCTTCTTGTCCAAGTGATCCCTGGTGACGTAAACGGCCACTCTGGTTTTCCCACTCCCTGTAGGGAGGCATATGATGATATTCTTTCCCTCCAAGGCTGGCTGGGCCACTTCCAGTTGGTAAGGCCTGAGATGCAGCTCTGGCTCAGGGGACGCTCTTTCTGCCCCAGTCTCTTCATCTAAAGCAGGTTAAGAGGAAGAAAAATAAGCAACAAAAAAGCTAAGGCTAGGAAGCCTGAAACTGAACACAGGCCCCTTGTGGCTTAAATTCCCTTTCATGTGTGGTCCAAACCAGCCCATTTCCTATTTACTGTACCAAATGAGTGTCAGCCCTGCATTTGCAGGATATAACCCAAGTTATAAGCGGCCAACGGGATGAGGGTGGAGAGGGAATAAATTAACAGGATGGAAGATGGGGAGGGGGCAACGTGCAGGAATCTTTTCACAGCGTGGGCAAAGCCAAGGGGAAATGACAGAAAAGGCCGTGGTGCAGGGTTGGCAGTTTACGGTTCTCAATGCAGCCAACTCGCCATGTCTTTGCGGAGCGGTTCCACACCACTTGTTTCTCTTAGCCCTTCCACCACCAAGTCCAGAGCAGCTGGGAAAGTAGGAATTATGCTCTGTGGTCCCCTCACTTTTTATTGCAAAGAAATATTACAGCCAATGCTACTTTCCTTCATTTGAAAAACTTGACCTGACAAACCCAACACCAAAAAGCATATCTATCTGTCTGTCTGTCTATCTATCTCAAATATCTAAAAATGTCCACAAAATCCTAGTTTTGCCATTTAAGGCAACCAGATTAGACAGAAGCGATAGGGAAGAGGGGAAACTCTCCCGTGCCAGCCTTTAATCTGTAGGTTTGCATTGAAAGAGGAACAACAGTTTTGTTGGTTTAAATGGAATTGTGACTAATTTTGCCATTTAGTTTTGAATATGATTTTTATCACTTCCTTATCCTTCCTTATGTATGTCTCCACGCATTCATAGTTCCCTGAAACTCAAATCACAGTATATTAAAAATATTTCCAATTAACATATATTTTGAAATTTAAAATAGTGATAAAATAATTACTAACATACATTAATTTTATAAACATTAGAATAAAATTATTATAACATATCTTGGTTTAAAAATATTTTGTTTAGAAGTGACTATATTTACCCATATTAGCCAGGGGAAAAGAGATCTAAAGATGTATAACTTATCATGTGGAATGCAGTAAAATAAATATTAGATCAATTTAAAAGCCCATCTTATGCTTTATGTAATCACAAAAGAAAATGAAATGACAGCACTTATCAGTATTTCATTACACATGAAGTAAGCGTTCTCTTATCAACGACTGCAATAAAACTAAACTAACATAATCCCATTAGCTTCAAAAAAGTTGCTGATTGTGCCATTTCAGCAACTGGATGACTCTATTTAACTGGGTTTTAACTTGTTGTGATAGCACTATCTGATCAGGTAGGAAAATTCACACCAAATACCACTTAGTAAGGGTCACCTACTAGCCCGGCAGGAAATTTGCCTTCTTTACGGCTGAGTGAACACAGATGCAATACATGTATGTTATCACTGGCTCATCTGCTGATTCATTTACTATGATTATCAGGAAAAACTCATTCAAGATCACCAGCATTTAAAAACACATATTGCCAAGTTTTCGTTCCATGCTTGTTTTGAACTCCACAGCAATTACAACAATTCATCTTCTATTATATTTATGTAAGATTCAAACTGGAGAAAGAATATCATTATTTCTCTGATAAGTGGCTTTCATAGATGATCAAAATCCTAAAATTTCACTTATATTATGAACATTTTTCACCTAACTTTTCCAAAAGAGCCAGAATATTTGCAAAGGAAGATGTATTTTAAATCGTGTTTAACACCAAGATCCAGGAACTTACTTTTGCTGAATTGCTGTTTGATGTAGAAAATTTACTAAAAGATATTAGCAAGTTCTTTTTGTTTAATTTCACTGTAGGAATATTTTTTGCACAGAGATTTTAAAAGGTAATAAAATTTGGCTCCCCTCATAAGAGTTGTATGCACTTTATTAATAATCATTTTTCCCTTTTTTTTTGCTTATTAGTATATCCTTGGGTAAGAAAAATTAAAAAGAGAAACTGAGCAATTTTCTCTCTTTTATAGGAATTTAAAGTGAAATCGCATGAGTAAAACATCAATATCACTTATGCATATTAGATATTTGTTGTACGAATACATTTAAGAAGAGTTAAGACATTAAAAGGGCTATTGTTTATTTTAGATATAGTAGTTAGTACCACATATTGTATGGACAGGGAACTATATTCAATACCTTGTAATTGCCTCTAATGAAAAAGAATATGAACAGGAATATATACGTATAACTGAATCACTATGCTGTATGCCAGAAATTAACACAGTATTATAAACTGACTGTGCTTCAATTCAAAAAAAGGTCTATTGTGTTCAAAATTTAATTCTAGAGTCAAATTCATGATGCTTACTGTTACTTATCTAGTCACGCACCACTAACTCATTCTGAAGTAAACATTTACTGGGTGTCTACTACATGCCAGGTACTCCCAAGAACGCAGTCCTTATTTTCGAGGGTTTCAGAGGCCAGGGCACTCTACTGTGGCCACTGAGAATATCTGGCAACTAGTTAGATAGCTGAATATATTCCATGTTTTTGAGTCAAGTCTAGGAAACTTGATGGGTAACCTCAAGTTTAAAAGAGAGGCACAGAGTGAATATGGAAAAAATTAGAGTTGGATTCATGGTGAGAACAGCATCCAAAGAAAAAGAGCTGGGTGAGTGCTAAATATTCAGCCTGATTCTTGCCTTATCACATCCTCTGACATAGGGATGGGAGAACATATCCACACAAGCAATGAAAAGAGAATTTTCTCTTCTCTGTCACCAGAAGGGGAGAATTGGGCTGATGTCAAGGAGCCAGGAGCCAATTTCCCTTATAAAAGAAATGTTTGGGTTTTGTTTGTTTGTTGTTTGTTTCTTTTTGGCTCTCTTTGAAAAGCAAAATCAATTAAATGCAATAACAAAAATGGTGTTTAAAATATGCACAGGCTTTGAATAACATCGTGCCCTCCTCTACAACAAATATTGATTGAAAACCTTAAAATTACACTATACCACATAAATGGTCAAAAAAATGAAATCAAATAGGGCTTAAATAATAACATTCTATTGGAACTACACCATGTGGCAAATTTCATTCTCACATTGATTTTGACAGCTGAGCTATTCTTGGAAAGAAAAGGTCTGTCACTGCATGTGTTTGAAATCGACAAAGTATTCCTTTACCTATATAGTATGTAACCTCAGAAAAATACACCATTCAAGCTGGATAAATATTAATAGATATTACCTCGAAATAGTAAAGAAACACTTTCTACATATTAGGTCAACATTCATTGCCAAAAATATTGCCAATTTGTGAGAAGCAGTATATCCTTTTGAGAATGAGAAACAAAAAACCAAAAAAAGCCTCCCATAGTATAATTAGAATATTTAAAATACTACTAATTGTGTTTTACTATGGCATAACAATACTTCCACAAAGGAACATAATGTCATGGTATTGGGTCACATCCATGATCCTTATGGCCCATTAGGTAACCTCTGAAGGTGGACAAAGGACTTGTGGAATAAAGTCCTTTTGATGTCAGCCTCAGAGGCTAAAACATGATCCCGAACACTCTGGTGCTTTCAGTGATTCAATATGTGTTTAACAATTTGCAATTTATCTAAACCTTTTTTTGAATTGATTTCTACTTCAGCCTATGTCATGCACCTGAGGGAAAGGAACTTCTTAGTTTAAATTTTATAATTTCAGAATTTTGCTACCCACCTCACAATTTTATACCCACTAGTCTTTGTTTCTAAGCACCGACCATTTAGGACTTCAAAGAGAGCCCTTTAAATCTGTTCGTCTTCAAATGTATTTGCCTTTGAAAACGTATTTGCTTTTTAAAAGTAGGTTGCATTCAGCTTTATCTCGTCTTTCATGCCAGGCTGAAGACTGAAAATCAGTAAATAGTTACACTTGCTAACAGCTCTAAACAGACAAAATGCTCTGCACATAGAGAATATCCATTAAATATTTATTAAACGAATGAATATTGTTGAAAAGCCCTTACTTAGACAAATAATAATTAGGATGAGGTCCAGAAGCTTAAAGAAACCAAACCATAAAGATGTTAAATATTAGCTAGAGTATATTTTGAGTTCTAGCATCAATAGTATTTAATAAAAATGTTAATTATTAAATTTAACAATTGTATAACAAGCATAGAAAAAACAAATACAGTCTGCAGAAATGTGCACACGGCAAGAACTTAATAACATTGACAAATTGAACAGAAAATTAGTTAACTCTTTTTCATTAACGTTAAAGTTATGACTGACATTTGGTGAACTGGGCTTCCTCAAACCAACTTGTTCTAAGCGATTCAGGAGTGTTACTAAGAGAAAAAGGACATTCAAATAAAAGAGTGGCACATTCAAACTGGGAAAGCTTTCAGGGCAGGTGACCATCTTTACATAAATTGTTTTGCCCCTCTAGGCCTAGTGTACATGTAAAAGTCTATCATTCTTCTGACAACGCAGGGTAATCTGAAGTGCACAGGTCAAAGTGTTTTCTACAACTCAATCACAAAATGAGTGAAGAATAAAGTAATTTGTTTCTCAATTTGCCCTTTGCTGCTGCTTCTTAGCCGGCCATATTGCAAAACATTGTTTTCTGTTTGTACGAATTTGATTATTTTAATTATAAAATATTTCAAACATGCCAACAAATATTAGAAAGGTATGTAACAGACATCCAAGGACCCATTGCCCATTGTTAAAAGATGCTAACATTTTAGCTCATAATAATGGAAAAAATGCACATTCAAAGAAGGAAGAAAGACCCGGAAACGATCAGACTGACAAGAGTTAGGAAATCTGATAAGACGAGGTCTTGCTGAAGTGTGGGGCTTGGGAAGAGGCACTCTTAGTGACTGCTGGTGGGATAGTCAACTGATACGAAGAGTGATTTGGGAAACACCCAGTAAATTTCTCATTTAGTGATGAAAACATTTTGCAGACTCAAAGAGAGATTCATACAAATTGAAACTCTTTTAACTACATGTGTAAATTCTAGTTCTTGCTTGAAGAGGGACTCATTATATGCCGTTATCTACAGAGTCATACTCATCTTATTGATAGTATTTTTTATTTACAATGTATTTTAATTAAAAAAGGAAGGGGTTGAGAATAAATGTACAAAATTGAACACATAATTTAAAAGCAGTCAGATTCATTGAAACAGATCGCATAAATAAAATATATTACATGATTCTATGGAATCATAGACCATATGCCAGACCAAAAAGATATGTACTGGGTCAGAATCAGAAAGCTTGATTCTAAGACTTTTTGTGAGTTGTACTTTTAAAGAAAATGAATGGCAAAGTTCCAAAACTACTTCAACTGTAGAAAAGAATTGCTTTAATTGCATAAATACATTAGGGAGGGTATGAACAGCCCCCACGCTTTCCACTATATGGTGTCTTATTTCACACTTTTTAAGGTTTACACAACAGTTAGGCAGTACCTGAATCACTTCCCATGGTGCCTGAATCACTGCCCATGTTGCTGTTATGTCCAAGACTTTCATCTAAGCAGCTGACACTTCCTTCTGCCAAACTTGTGTCTGATTCTGCAAAGGAAAACATTTTAAAATATTTTTAAAATATTTCTGAGAATAAACGTATTTTAACTGCACACCTCTACAGCACACAGTACATACAGTTCAATGCAAGTGGAGAAGGCACACCCAGACAATTGGGAATAAAAGGTAAGAGTTTTTGGCAAGCAACATTTAAAAACTCTTCTCTGGATGAGCAGCTGTCCGGGGGTGAATCGAATACATGTTATCTACCTACATAAAGTACCAATAGCAGAGCTCAGGCACATTTGCAAGGATTTGTGATTTCTGTCATCCCCTTATGTGTAAATTCTGCCCAAAAAAGAAGGTCTAGGCTTGATAATGTCATTTAGACAAAAAGTATTATACAGAAACCACTGAGTCATTTTCATGTAAAATGGTAGAGGAGTAATAAATTATAGAAAAATTATAATGAATGAAGTACATGGTTCTACTGATGGGTTATGAGAACAGCAGTTCAGTGATAAACATAAGTTTAAAATCTCACAAAGAATTTACTCCAAAAGAATACCATGAAAGCCAGGCATTGCAGTGGCACTAGAAGCTTATGTGAGGTTGGAGATACTTCTTTTTTTCTTTCCTATGATTAAACTAAGCTTCCATCAAAGAGTTACAATTAATATGAGTGGCAAGGGTACATCTTCACTTATTAATCCTGATTTTTCTCTTTTCAGTACTCAGTACTGATTCCTTTTGAAAACTTTTCCCTCAAGGGAAGACCTCCTTCCTTACAGTTTATTTCCAAGGATTTACGCAGTCCCATCCGCAAGGATTAGAACTATTGTTCAACTGGTAAAAATAAATGAAAGTTGGTTACGGATGTTGAGTTTGGAGTCAGAAAGACTTGTGAAATTCGCTGTTGGCGATGCTCTGAGACTTCCTTCCTTCCCCTTATTTAAAATGGGGCTGGTAGAGGTCTAAACTATGAGGTAAAAAATATGCTACAAGGATTTATTGTACAACACAAGGAATATGGCCAATATTTTATAATTACTACAAGTGGAGTATAATCTTTACACATTGTGAATCACTGTATCGGACACCTGTAACATGTAATATTGTACAACAATTACACTTCAGTTAAAAATAATATATAAAATAAAAAATAAAATGGGGCTAGCACAACTAACCCCACAGGATTTGATAGCCATTAAATGATAGTAGATACAAGTTCTTTGCAGTGCAGTTAAACTACTAGTGATTGGAAAATGGAATAAAATTCAAGTAGTTGGTGGATTACTAGGGCAAGAGTGTCATTTAATAATGTTTTTACAATGAATAATATTTCATAATATTTATACTTGTTAGATGATCATTACTTCATGCTCAAGCTCCCAAATGCACTAAATAGATTATACTAAGGCAGGCTTAAGTTGTATAAAACTAGTCTGAGTGTCACATATTTAAGCTAGAAATGGAATGAGTGAAAAATAGACTCACAGTGTGGTATTGATAAAACTTCTCTGGAAAGGGACAATATACAACTCCTTAAAACTACCAGTATCTTCTTTTCTTTAACTGGCTATTTCCTTTTTTAAGTCAGGTGTGTTGAGGTATAATTTACACACTTTTTAGTAAAAATCACTCTTTTTAGATGTATAGTTTGATGAATTTAACAAACACAGTTTTGTAACCCACATCACAGCCAAGATTTTTCTATCACCTCAAAATCCATTCAAGTCTCTTTATTGTCACGTTCTTCCTGCTGTCCCCTGGCAGTCAGTTGTTTGGTTTCTGTCCCTATAATTTTGCCTTTTTCAGAATGTCTTATTAATGAATTCATGCAAAATGTAGCCTTAATGTTTGGCCTTGTTAACTTAGCATACGATGTTCGAGATGCATCCATGTTGTTTGTGTCAGCAATTTGCTCCTTTTTATTACCGACTAGTATTCCATTGAGCATCTGTGACATCTGTGACAGCTCCCTTCCTACTTGGATAAGCCTATTTAGCTTGGGAAATAGAAGAGAATTACAGCTACTACCAATTAAATATGTAAGATAGCGTCCTTAAAAATTAAACGAAAGCTGGTAAGACATTTGTAAAAAAACTCTCAATGGACTTGCACACTGTTTAAGTACATTAGCACAACACAAATACATCATGTGAAAATAGTGAGCTCATCAGCTGTCGTAGATGAGTTCTGAAACTCAGGCTGCGGAATCCCTTATGATCACACGGGAAAACCTGTATGTCTCACTGAGAGATTTTAAATATGGCACTTTGCAATTCCCTGAGGTATGCCTTGTTAGAAGCTCAGAGGCGAGTGTGGCATAGAACTGTCAAGCAGAAGACTGTTTTGGGCAGATGTACTGATGAAAAGAGAATATGAGTTGTAAGGAAGAGGCAAGGTGTAAAATGAGACGGGGAAAATGTCACTGCAAGGATGATTCTAGATCTAGAAAGATAGACCGATATTTCTGAGGCAAAAAAAAGTGAATTTTGACATGCTTTTCACTTGTTGTTTTAAATGTAGTATTGAGAATGGATAACAATGCCAAAAATACTGAAAAATACAAATACTATCTAAAATCTAACACCGTCTTTTAAGTCTCCCACTAAGTATGACACAAACAGAAATAATATTTGATTTTCATTTCATTTTCTAATCACTGGCAGTTAAACCATTATCTTTAACCTTCTCCAAGCATAGGTAAAGTCAAGATTTTCCCCCAGCTTTGTTCTAACATACATGAGGTTTGGAGGAGCTACTTAACGCAATATGCGTGAATAATTTATGAACATTAAAGAAAGTTGCTACAAAAAAGGATATTATTAATTAAGTTCATTATCTGGATTATTTTGAGTTAAAAACAAATCTGCAATATGTTGGGGGATACTAAGCTCAGTGTTTTCCAGATGTAATGTAAATTATATTTTACGCTCTCAACGTCCTATGTGGTAGATATCACCTCAATTTCATAGGTGAGAAACCAAGTCTCAGACAGGTTAAATGATTTACCCAGATCACACAGCTAAAAAGGGGCAAAGCTGGAAGTCTTATTTTCTGAATCCAAGTCCAGTATTCCAGTGCTTCTGCCCAACGCCAAGCACGCCTCATGATCTGTTGTGAAACTTTGTAAACAAGCAGTAATACTGTCCGTAGTGTTGAGTGAAATGAAAGTTTTTTTTTAATAAGCATATGGACATTTTCACTGTAATGTCAAATTTTCTATCAATCTTAAAGCAGCTTATCTTTCCAGGAAAAAAAAAAAGTTAGAGAGTACTTTATTTTGCTAACATTTTTTATTTCACTGATAGACTTTCATTTACTTTACTTTTAAACATCCACACTTAACTTTAAAGCTTTTTCCTGCACACAAGTAAAAGAGGAACACTTTTGTCCTTGCTAGATAAAATTAATTGCAATAATTCTGTTAGCAATCATTATGAAAATGAAAGTGACTATGTAGAGGTCTATTTCTTTGTCATTTTAAGGATATATAAATCTCTAGTTTCTCAACACAAAAGTAGTTTTGTTTCCTTGGTGGCAAATTCTTAGGCATTTGATATTTTTTTTGATTTCATAGAAAAGAAGTACTAGAGAAAATAACTCTAATAATTAAAGAAAATATATTGTATCTCCCATAACACTGAGACTGCCTTCCCCTAGAGATTCTCCTCCTGCGTTCATCTAAAAAAAAAGAATCATGTTACACACACACACCCACCAAAAAGCCAGAATAAAAAAAAAGTGTTATGTGATGACAAAATTAAACCAACCTACTAAGTTTATAAGCCAAGAATTTCTGCAATTAATTGTATAGGATTATCATGTTTCATTCTTTGTACTTTTCGCAGTATGTCAATCTGGACTTACATCCTAACAAATAAAGTCATGTGTCTATGATTTTAAAATAGATCAGATAAATAGTCAACTGGAGACCGGGTGTTGCCATGAAAAGAACATGTGCTATGGAGTCAAACAGATCTGTCTTCAGATCTGAGCTCAGCCACTGCTAACAAGGGACTTAAACTTCTAAATTTTTAAAATACAGATAGTGGTTTCTGCTTTCTCCTTTATTGTCAGAATGATTCTGTTAGACCAAGGAAATAAATCTTAAAGTGAAACAAATCTTAAATTCTCATACAGTTGCTACTTAAATGAGCTTTGAATATTAGAATTAGATTCTATAGTGAGTTGAGTTAACTTTTTTATAGGTGTCACCTCCTCCAGGGGAAATACCAAACTAGCTATGGTAATTTCTAACTGTTGAAGGAAAGTCGTTATTCCTACCAAACTCTACTGGAGTGAAGGAAAACAATACTTATTCAGTTAAAAGAAAGGATTTCCTGTAATGATTCTGTAAACAACACAGTAAAGAACAGCTTTGCTTACAATGATAGTGTCTCAGACCAGTCCATAAGCCAATGGGGGAAAAAAATAGTCTCATTTTACAATCACATCTTAAATAGTTTACTAATAAGGCAGAAATATCAACTTGAATCTGTGAAATTTTATATTTAACATCCTCTGAAGCTTTAAATACTTTAAAATATTTTCAAGCCATTTAGAAGCCAAAGAAATGCAAGTAAAATTTTTTCAAATGAAAAAAACCTCTTCCTTGAAGGCCTTTTTAGATCTATTTCAATGTAAAGTATGCCCTCTGCTGGAAAAATGCTGTTATGACAATTAGTTGATAAGTACATTGTGTAGGCAACTTAAGAACTAAGCTTCACTAGGTAAGATACAAATGGGTTCTCACTTCTGCTCCTACCAGGTAGTGTCCCTCCAATTTTCAGCCTAGATGCCTTCCTCCCTCCGTAGAATTATTTCTCCTTTTTTATCCTTTGCCTCAGGCTGTCCTCTTTGCCGGAAAGTGGTTTTGCATTTTATTAGGAAGGGGGGCAGAGCCTCTGTGCATTCTGAGAAAAAAGACGGGGACCAACAGATCCGCTCTCCTGAGAGGTGGTGCTTGCAAGGTCTGCAAACAGTCTAATTTCACTTGCCAGGCAGTTGTGTGCTTATTCTAGTTCTGACCTCACGATGCA